TGAATCATCCCTACCCCCTGTCTTATGTTGGATTCCCCAGAAATGGACTTCAGGGAGAGTTTGTGCTAAAATGATGTATTAAGATGTGTTCTGAGGAAGAACAGCAGGGGAGTGGGACCCTGAGGAGAAGGAGGTAATCGTCTCATCAACACATCCCCTCACCCACTGACAAAGTCCATTTTTTTCATCATCTCACTGATTCCACAGGCACAATGTTATTTCAGCTTTAGAAATAGTATCTTAGATCACACAGTAAGTTCCCCCGATAGCTTAAAGAGTAGTTTTCAATGGCCTTTTTCTGATTTCCTCTGTGGCCAAAGCAGGAAGCAGCATAAGGATTACGTGAATGAGGCATGTGAATGAGACAACAAGAAACAAGACCAAAAAGGTTTCTAAATTTCATTTTTTGGTAGCATAAAAACATTAGGTTGTCATTCAAAAAATTGTCAGATTCCCAAACCTCTCTTGCTTATTTTTTGCCTTCTTGGTGGTTTGTGGGAATGGTGTGGTTGTCCTGGTCATATTCCAATCTAGACAATTATATCTTCTCCTCTGCAAATTCCCTGTTGCTTATATTCCAAGAAACAGTTTTCTTTTCTTTATGACAAACTGCTCCTAGGTACCACTGCATGGTGGTAAACAGCTAGAGGGAGCTATCCCAGAGATGGCTGCACATCAGTGGTAGGTGAACTCATCCCAGTGTCATTTATCTATCGATTTTTAAAGTATTTGGCATCTTTCAGGAAGAAAAGCCTAGAGAAGAGAAGGTCCTATTATTTCTTCTATAACCTCAGTAAGTTTGAGGCACTGTTCTAATTAGAATGAAGATAACAATTTAAAAAATGATAAGATATTTGCAAAGGGGATGATTAATATAAATGGATTTCTCAATAACAAATATTTCACTGATAACCTATTAAAGAATAAGTGCTACATTTTCGATTGCCAAAGATATCTTACCTCTATGTAGTATTAAACATTTCTGAGGTAGGCGAAAGAGCCATTGAAGTAATAATCAAATCTCCCCAACAGTTTAATTAAAAGAAAATATGAATCAGTATAAAATCAAAACCATTTTGCTTTGTTTAAAAAGAAAAAGCTTTATTGTCAGTGGTGATAAGAGTTCAGACAAAATTATTTCAGAGAAAATACATCTTGGTTAGTCTCTTACATTAACAGCAGCTCTTTAGAGATGCCTTTTACCTTCTAAATGATTTAATGCTCCATCTTTTAAAGAAAAAACTCACCATACTCTTCTCATTTTCTAGTTTATATTTGCGCTCCCTCCCACTCCTACAGTACTTTAAGGACACTACTCTACCTAAAATGAGTTCAGTGGATTTGGTTGAAATTGAAGACAATAAAGATAAAATGAAAATGAAGATAAAATATTTGAAGAATATTTAAATTTCAGAAGAAAACGTTTGACTTTAAGAAAGTCACTTATATTCTAACACTACAAATCACTGCAGGAAAAGAAAATAAAGTTCCTTTTCTCCTTGTAGTAAAGAAAACGGTGGGGAACGAATTCTAGAAGCACACATATTTATTGTCACTAGAGAAACTAGTTGATGCCACCAGAGCATTTCTAGTAGTTGTGGCTTCCATGGAATCCTAAAGAAGCCGAGAGATGACAGAAGCGTATCTGGTTCACAGACTTTATGGAAACCTTAAAGCCCTCTTAGTGACCATCATTGTGACAGGAGCAAAGATTATGACATAAGTCACCCAGATCAAAGGTGTGACCATTTCTCCAAACTTAAGATCATCCTTTATACTTCATGTATGTCTTCCCTAGTCACCACCCAATCTGTGCCCCCTCGCATCTCCCTAAACAATACAACCAATACCCCATAACAAATGATTAGGTTTGTTCATGGGAAAATCCAAAAGGAGCAAGTTCACATTGTTCTTTGGGAGTTTCCACCCCTGTCCTTTCCTGCCGACACGCAACAGTACTAATTAGGCTATTGAAGAAGAGGCACCTGGCTGTTGCCAATTCTTGGCACCCAAGTTTCACAAATCTTTTGGTCAAGAAAGAAAATGTTTCTCTCCTGATCCAAAGCCTAATCCCAAGACAAAATGCCTCCAGGGGGCCCTTCTTCTCAGAGAAGGTAGAAATTATGTTAGAAAATGCTTTGAAGCCAAAGGGGAGTCCAGAAAGGCCAAAAAGCAGATTTCATAAACCTCCCTCCATTAATGGGGTCACAGTGTAGAACCCCATAATTATTGTTGAGTATTACTGCTTACCAACAGTTATTTTTAGCTTATGAGTGAGGAAACAAAGGCTCATAAAAGCTAAGTGACTTGCTCAAGTTCACCCAGCTGGCCAATGTTGGCATCAGGATGAAACCACGGTCCCTCTGACTCCAAATGGCATGCCCTGCCCAAATTCTGTGCTGCAAATATAAGTTGTAGATATCACTTTATTATAAAATATGCTTGGCTGTGCACATTACATGTTATAAGACGCCAAAGTGGATAAAATGGTTTATCGCATGTGTCAAGAGAGAGTAGGTGACTCAAAGCATTCTAGGATTCACTGTGGAAGACCTGATTCCTCATCCCCTTACAGTGTGTCTGAGAGAGGAAATCCCTCTCTGCTCTCCTCCCTGACTCCATATTGACCTTTGTCTTCTTCCAGTTTCTAAAACATGCTGACGTTACCTTTAATCTGCTTATAGTAATCACAACATTTTATTAATCTTTCAAAAGCAGTTTTAGTTGCTCTTCATTCTTTGTAAGTACAGTCAAGGTGCCCTTTCTATGTCTGTTTTTAGGTGATCATATTTTTGATATTGGAAGGCGTAATGACTAGATTTCTAGACAAACTCTCATAATTTACATATGAAGAAAGAAAGTTCTGTAAAGTTAGTGATTTATTCTAGGTGCCAACAATGATTAGTGACAAATCCTTCCCCCAAACTCTCAGTGTTGAATTTTCAATTCTTATTATTTTACAATTAATTAGTTTTCTGAGTAAGATGTTCCTAACTTATTCTTTGTTTAAACCATATGAGTAGAGCTAAGTTTAAAGCAGGTGAAGTTACTGTATCATAGCATTTTGTTAAGAATAATATCTGATTTATCTTCAGTCTCCAAAATTTACCTCATGTATGCTGAGGAAATCAATGGTCAATTAAGTTTGTAAAGAGTGTTCTTTTAACAGCTAAAGAATTAGAATAAGCTTTTCTTAGAATGTCTTTTTAAAAAAATTTTTCTTTATGAAGTTATTTTATAAATGCTTAAAGTGATCTCATTTAAAATTGAAACACTGCATTTCAGATACAGGTACACTGAATGTTAGTAAGAAGGGTTTTTATTTACAAGCATTTGGTGATAATAAAAATCTTCAGTAAACTTTGTTAAGACTAAAAAAAAAAAAAAATCTATGACTAACTCTGTGATTTTTCCAGTGTTAAAAGGAGCCCAAGTTGATTCTAAAATCAAAGAACAGACAGAAGTTCAAGTGGGTTGCAAACTTGGCAAAAACATGTTTTACCAAGAAAAAAGGAAAATGAATCCCATCTAAAAATCTGTGCCTGTGTATATGCATCTTTGGGCTTTCTTTTTGTAAAAGCAAAGTTCTTTAAAAAAGAATCATTATATCACATAAAGTAATGAAATATACTTTGTGTGACTAAAGATATTGAAATCACTTGTTTAAAATTAGGCCAACTGCATAATTCCTTTTGAAAGTTCATTAGAAATAAGTCACCTAGTTACCGTAATCATGCTTTAACTTTGGGTGTGTAACCTTATGTTCTAAGATGTGTCACTGGCAACTTTTAAAATTATCAAAATTAATCTGGTGCTACTTAGAAGTTTTTCCACTATATTTCTGTTTGCATTTTACTATTTCCTTTCTGTATTATGCTTCTCTTTGCTGTCATGAATATCACAAAGTTGGATACAACTACTTAATTTGATATTTTTCCTGTAGCAGTTATTCAGAATTTCTTTTCTGAATAGTTTTTAACATTTGAATCAAAGCAGCTTTTGACGTCAGGGAAACCATGCGGTAAAGGAGGGGTCAGTGCCTTTGAATCCCCAGACAAAGGGACTCAGTTTTACATGTGCCCCAAAACTCTTGTTGTGGCAGTTTTCGTCTTTGTAAGGGCTGTTACACATGCTCAGAGTTCCATTCTCAGAACATTAGACTCTAAACTTAGAAAGAATAGAGGCACAGTCTTATTCTCCATGTATCCTCTAATCTACCACATTGCCTAACACACAGTAAACACCCAACAAAAAAGTATTTGTGGGATAAACAAATAAATATAGCAGGCTTTCTTCTAGAAAGTAGATGGTCACCCAGCTTGAAGATTATTTATTTTATTTCAATGCTCAGTCGGTATGCCTTATGAATTATGTATGTCTAAAACACATATGTTGAAGAAGGTGTTCTGGAGTCTTTTTTATTACTATCAAATAAAATCCAAAAGCACTCTCAATGTTTTCCATTACCATCTATTTTATCCTTAATTTGTAGTTTGTCCCCTGGAGAATCTCCTCTATGGCGGGCTGTGTCTTTCAGTGTTCCCCGTTGTCCATGCAGTGCCCGGCACAGAGCAGCCAATCAGTAAATGATTGTTACATGAATAAATGAGAATATATCAAATAATTTTATCAAAATTTGAAATGGTCTGGAATCAGTAAAAAGTAATACTGATTATGCAAACAAAAAAGAGTGACATTATGGAAGATATTATTTAGAGAATCATCAGAATGCAAGTAAAGACCAGACATGGTGGCTCATGCCTATAATCAGAGCTCTTTGGAAAGTCAAGGCAGGACGATCACTGGAGCCCAGGAGTTCAAGGCCAGTCTGGGCAACATGGTGATACCCCATCTCTACAAAAAATTAGTCCAGTAGGGTGGTACACACCTATAGTCCCAGCTGCTCAGGAGGCTGAGGCAGGAGGATTGCTTGAGCCCAGGAGGTCAAGACTGCTGCAGTGAGCTGTGATCATGCCATTGCACTCCAGCCTGAGCAGCAGAGCAAGACACTGTCTCAAAAAAAAAAAAATGCAGGCGAACAGGAAAGAGATGAAAGTAACTAAACTTGGCAGAGATGGAAAGCAGCATCCCCATCCTCTGCACGTCTTTCTTCCAAGCTTGGGTGGCTAATGTCCTTAAAAATAAAAACTTTTTTATTTAAAAAGGAGATTAATTGGAATTAAAATGAAAAGATGCAATGTAAAGTGAATACTAAGTTAAGTTGTCTGGTTATTGTACTATGTATGAGTATCATTAGGCAGAAAAGAGCATAGTCAAAATGGTTTAACTGAAGAGAGTTTTAGAAAGGGACTATTTACTGAAGTGGGTGGGATTCAAGGAACGAACAAGAAATGTGGAAGCACCTCAAGGTTAATAAGAGCAGAAAGTCATTGACACCCCAGGCCTAAAAAAGCTGAGGGAGCCTGCTATTGGAGCCTGTAAAAGTCGGAGTCTGAGAAGGGAGACCTCTCAAAAGGAGCTGTCACCATAAAGGACTGCAGCCATTTTCAAAAAGCGCCCTGAAGGAGAAAGTGGTGAATAAATAATCCATGCTTTTTCTTCTGCCCTTCAATCTCCTACTCCTACTGGGTCTCTCATTGAGTGAACACAAGAGAAAGCCTGGAGCACAGGCAGGGCGGAGAATGATCTGAATAGAAGGTAACAGGGGCAAGGAAAGACAAATGGAGAATAGTCAACAAACGACTGGTCTCCCTGAGAATGCCTTCTGACTCTGATGGAGCCAGGAGTCCTACATTGATCCCCCAGAATGCAGCCAGGAAGAGCATAAGCTTGATTCTTGATAGAAACTTTAGTTCTCCAGCTTGGTAACTACTAAACTGGAGGAACTGGGCTGCCATGTAAAAGGACTGTTTCTTCTTACTGTCTGAACATTTGATGTAATCACCTGCCAATCAACCAGTGAACTCAACAAGGGTAATGTTTGCTCCCAGCCAGCTTCACAAAAGGAAAAAACAAAAAGGAAAAACATTTGGACTGGTTATCACTACAATATGGTACTTGAATCAGTACAAAAATTAAACTCTCCAAAAAAATTGGCATTGCAAAATTTGAAATCTATTTGTTGTCTCAAGTGGCCATGGGACATTGTTCATTTAGCTCTGGAAACTTCTATCCTTCTATTTCTATAAAATATGAGTAAGCGCTAGATCTAAAATAAATTTGTCATTGCATTCTTCCAGGACATTGCATGTACATTTGCTATTCAAAATCGGATCTGCCCTCCTTTTTATCTCAGGAATATCTAATAAGTATCTATGTAGACAAAGAATATATGTGTGTTTAAACAATGCAGTATTTATATATTCATTGAAATGTTCTGTTTCAGAAACAATTAATTGGATTAAGATTCTAACTTGCTTCATGCCAAGTCCTGGCATAACCAAACCCCTGATTACTCCATGCCATGAAGCCCCAGGCTCAATAGCCTGTTTTCCTTCCCCTGGGCAGAAATATAGCTTGTAGGGAGGGGAAATAGCAACAGTTATCACTAGGTTGTGCCCTCTGAGCATATTACTCTAAATGATGCTTTTCAACAATTTTAAGGTAATATTTTGATATGACAGTTTTTAAGAAAATGGTATGAAAAAAGGTGCCAGAGGAAGCAGTGTGCATTTAATCTTTCAAAATACAATACAATGGTCAGACCATGGGTCCAATAGAGAAAGTTTTCCTTGCTCAGTCACCTCTCAGAAAACATCCTGATATTAGATGCCAGAAGATAGTGGAGGTGCATAGTTGCATTTTAAAGTAGAAATTTTGAAACTCGAGAATTGTGTACCTTTCAAGTTGTCATATGAAGCAACACTTCAGATAAGAAAAGCCTTGGGAAATAGAACATCCATATATTCTTCCTGAAAAAGAAATTGTCAAAGATGTACACCAGCCTACTGAATTAGGAAGTCTTGCTTAAAAGGGCGGGTAAGGCAAAGTCTAAAGTATTGTAAAACACACAAACATAATATCAATGTTATGAATATTCTTAAAAGAGAAGAAACACACACACAAAAATTGCTAGATCTAAAATCCTAGATTATATCATAGAAAGCTGAATGACAGAAGAAAATTGTCAACAAATAGTGATTAATTGGGGAGTCAGTTTAATTCTTGATGTTTGAAATATGTTTGAATTTTTTATGTTACTACTAATTAAATTTAAAAACATGGTATTTGTTATATGTGTTCTCAATTACCAGAGGAAAAAAAGGCAATCAAAGGAACTGTAGTCTACTTGGCAAAAAAATAAACACTGAAAATTAATTATATTAGTAATTCTACCAAATACTGAGTGCTAGGCACTATGCTAAGTGTTTTACATTATCTCCTTTAATCCTCAGTTAAGCCTCTGAGATAGCTATTTATGATGCAGTTCAAAATCAGGTCTACCTAAATGTGAAGTTATAGTGTCTTTATTAATACACCGGTAGGATGACAAACAGATTAAAACTTGTGTCCCAATTCTCATTGATTAGTATTAGCTATTTGTAAAGTTACACTAATTAAGGTTCTGAGGCTGAATTTCAGCTCAGCAGAAAAGATTGTTGTAGATTATTAGTGATGTCTACTTTCAGAGCAAGAGGGAAGATTTGCATCAAGTATGTCACATATTTACCAATCACAGTTATAAAAATACATATAAAATTACAAACAATAAGACTATATATTTAGCTTATGAAATAGTTATAGATGGATTAAATAAACCTACAAAGAAAAAGTCAAAGGTCATAAAGAAATTTTATCCACATTTAGAAAAAAAATCAAAGAAAAGTTAAAAGCAAAATGTACCAAAATGTATGCCAATGAAAACAAAAAGAAAACAGGAATTACAACATTATTAGATAGTTGAATTCAAGAAAAAAATACATACAAAAATGTATTAAATAAGGCCAAAATTAAAATGAGAAGTAGAAACATAGTCTTTTTAGAGAATATAGAATGAACATAAATTGTTCAATTGGTGACATTAGAAAAATAAGTTATTAGGGCCAAGCGCAGTGGCTCATGCCTGTAATCCCAGCACTTTGGGAGGCTGAGGCTGGCAGATCACAAGGTCAGAAGTTCGAGACCAGCCTGGCCAACATGTTGAAACCTGGTCTCTACCAAAAATACAAAAATTAGCTGGGCGTAGTAGCTTGCCCCTGTAGTCCCAGCTACTCAGGAAGCTGAGGCAGGAGAATCACTTGAACCCAGGAGGCAGAGGCTGAAGTGAGCCAAGATTGCACCACTGCACTCCAGCCTGGTGACAGGGCAAGACTCTGTCTAAAAAAAAAAGTTACTAACTCAAGAAGTAGGAATCCCAAAATATCAATAACTATTGAAGAAATTAAAAGTTTTCAAAGAGTTTCATTGTTTAAGGTATACCATTGTCAGCAGTTTTATGGCTAAACTCTTTTAACATTATAAGAAAATGATACTACCTAAATCTTCCGAGCTGCTGAAGAGTGTAGATAAAAAGAGAAACCTGTCAGTTGTTTTTTACAGAAGTGGCACAATTATGCTACCAAAATCTGGGGGGAAAAGCATGTGTGCACACACAGACACACAAGTCATAATTTTTAATAAGAAAAATTCATTATATGAGAACAAGATAAAAAAATTTTATTCTGATTATTATTTTACAATACACACGCATGTAAATGTGCACAAACAAAATGACCTAAATTGAAATACATAGAAATATTTTAGTCATTTTCCTACATGGTTAGGTTATAATGATCTTTGTTTTTACTTATGATTTTTTGTTTTTTCAAATTTTCTTTACTGCCTTGTATTCTATAATACTGAAAAACAATAGTATTGATCCCAGTATATGTTAATTTTAAAGAAGCAGATTTTTTTCTTTTAAATAATGAAGGAAGATTATTTTGAGTGGAGAACAAAGGAGAAACTGCTAGACCTGGAGCAATGGAAGAAAAGAAAGAAGGGAGGAAGGGAAGAATTCCTAGGTTGTAAGACCTTAAAACAAAAACATCAGGAGGGAGCTAATGGAAGTTATTAAAATGTTATATAAAAATCTTGATAGGATAAAGACTCTTCTCCCCAAGACTTTTAGCATAGAAAAATAATTAACTTATTAGGCGGGGTGCGGTGGCTCGTGCCTATAATCCCAGCACTTTGGGATGCCAACGTAGGCGGATCATGAGGTCAGGAGATCGAGACCATTCTGGCCAACAAGGTGAAACCCCATCTCTACTCACAATACAAAAATTAGCTGAGCGTGGTGGTGGTGTGCACCTGTAGCCCCAGCTACTCAGTAGGCTGAGGCAAGAAAATTGCTTGAACCCAGGAGGTGGAGGTTACAGTGAGCCAAGATGGCGCCACTGAACTCCAACCTGGCGACAGAGCAAGACTCCATCTCAAAAAGAAAAAAAAAAAAAAGAAAGAAAAAGAAAAGAATTAACTTGTCTCAGGATTATTTTCCATAACTACTACTATTTTCAGTCTTTCCTCAGTTTTGGGATCAGAGTTAAGATAAATAGAAGCTTCGTGATGGCAGGTACCTTTGTTGACGCTGGCCAACAAGTATCTAGCACAGTGTAGGACCCTGCAGGGCCCAATGACCATCTGCTAGGAATGAAGGTTTCCAGTAGAAGGTTCTGCCAGGCTCTATCTCTCTGGCCTATTCTCTTCAGAATATTAACAGTGACCTGTCCTACAGCAGGAATGTTTTTCAGTGCCATAGACAACACAAATCTATTTCAGAATGAAGATTAAAGTTATTCTTGACAGGACCCAAACAAGCTAGATCAAATTTCACAAGGATGCAAACTAAACCATTCACTTAGGTTTCAAAACATTTACTTATTGATTTCAAAATAGAGACTGAAATCAGTGTAACCTAACACTGGGAACACAACTTCTGACTAAACTAACACACACTTAGGCTGTGTGTGGGAGGGAACTAACTAGAAATAGGAAAAGAGCAGTCCTCCTCCCTTCCGTGATGGTCAGACATGATCTCTACTACTGAAGCCCAACTGGGTGACAGGTTTTACAGCAAGCATTACGTAAGAGCCTATTCAAAAGTACAAGACACAAACAGCCCGAAAAGCCTGCCCATGATGGATGATTAAAGGGTCTGGGGAGAGTTAAGCTGAGGAGAAAGGCCTGGAGAGCATCAGCGAGCTGTCTTCAGGAAAGGACTTTAACATATTCTGCACTACTCCAAGGAGCAGAGCTAAGACCGACAGATGTAAAATGCTAAGGTAGATTTGGCCAACACAAAGATGAACTTCCCAAAAGGCAAGATGTGCTCTGACCACATAGGAGGCATTCCTTGTCACCAAAAGTGAGTCAGCACTAGCTAACCGACCATCTCTAAGGAATGTTCTGGAAGGGAGGTGGCACCATCCTGTCTTCCAACCTAGGGACTATAGAGAGGTTTTGTTTGTTCTACAAAACCTCTAAAATTAATTGTGTAAAATGCCTTCAAAGGAACAACTGCTCTCTGGTAAGAACAATTCACTCTACCGCCGATTGTCTTGAAGCCTAGCTGCTTCACATACTTACGCCACCTGCCCAGCTCCTAAAGTCATTGGCGATTGCCTAATCTCTAACATCCATTCCAACTGTACGATAACTTGCTTGGTGACTCAGCTTCACCACACAGCTGTCACAGAATGTTGTACCATTGGAGGACAGGAGAGATAGGAACGTGGGGATGAAATAGGTAAAGTAGAATTGATTGATGAAGATGGTTAACTCCAAACAGTCTGAGGTTGAAATATTTATATTGCTCTGCACAACTTTAGCACATTTCACACCCCACCACCTCTTTGCTTTTTCTCCCTCTTCCATGTATGTTTCAATTTTATAGCTTCTGTGAACTGCAGACTATTTTAAACATGAACTTTCCACCTAGAATTCAGAAGCTTTTATTACCAGCCCAGCGCAGAAAAGCAGGTTGACTTTTCTTACTAATTTTAGCCATTGCAAAGGTCCTTGGGCAGGGACCGGATTCTTCTGCCCTGTGGTTGATGTAATGCTGCCATCTGGCGATTATTCCAACAAAGTGCCGGAGGCATCTGTCTCGTGCCAGGCAGAAATATTTCCAACTTACAACTAACTCAATAGAGTAGTCCTGTCCCAAGCAGGAACCCCCTAATTGGGAAGGTAAAATCTATCTCCATGAAGACAGTTGTGTGCTGAAAAAGGTAATCTCTAATTAATATGAATCATGATTATCAACAATGATGTTCAATAATGATATAAAGATTGAGTTATAATAGATAATATTAGTAATTATGTCCTATAGCAAAAATTTACATATAGCATTATGTAGCCTACATATTGTTAGAAATATATTATTGGATATTATCCTCATCGCAACCCCACAAGTAACATAATATTACCATATTCATTCTTATCCCCATGAGGGGACAGACTCAAGAGAGGGTAAGTGGCAAGCTCTAGATCACACAGCCTCTAAGTAGAAAAGTCCGAATCGGAGCCCACTAGATTTCAACAGTGTTCAGTGTAGAGAAGTGGACCCCCTTGAGCTAAGGGATAGGCAGGATGGGGGAACCAGCAGTCTAAAGAGGCATGAAAAAAATTGTGCAGAGATTGGTGGTGGTGAAGGGTTCCATTTATGTAACTGGTTTGGAACAGGATTCAGGCAGCAGCAGAAAGCTTAGGTGATAAGATTCCTTAGGAGGAAAAGGACTAGTAGGTGACAGGTTGGAAGTCAAGGCCCCACTGGAGCAGAGTAAAGAAGAACTGTGGCTCCTTCGGCATATTGAGTGCCTAGGAAAAATGCCACTGGGGGTGACGAGACGTCTCAAGTTCCCCCAGTTTTGGCATGGCTAGCCGAAGGAACTGAGTGGGGTTGGCCAGATGTACTGATACCATTTCCATTACTCTTGCCAGATGCCATATTGCCTTCCCCAAAGGCAATGTATTACATATTAGGTGTGATATATTGTATTACATATTAGATGTGAGGGTGTGGGAATGATAAACGATGCACATTTGTATTTGTCTGTTTGTTTAATAATCCATCATGGCCATCCTGAGCGAGGTGATTTCTCATCCTTTGTCTCATTTAATTTCTACGACCCTAAGGGAATATTTAGATTTTGGAAATCCCACATTTAGATGTGCATAGTCTAGTTGTTGAAAAGGTACTCTATAAGGAGAAAGGATTTTTAGACTCTTGAAGGAACTAAACCCTCAGTAACCTGGACCACATTTTGCTTGGTGAATCTCTCAAAATGATTGAGATGCATGCATTTGACTTCTAAAACAAACAGAAGATAAATAAGTCTCTACTCCTGAGAGAACTGTGCCCACTTCCACCATTTGACCTAATCATCAAAGTGAGGTTCTCAATGTCTGATTTTTTACTGCTTAATTGAGTTTCAGAGATTTTTTTATGTGTGTGCTTTACACAAGTACAGTTAATAAGTGGCAATAGCTATGTCACAAGTACACCTCTTTTGGAGGAGAGATTACTCTTTCTACCTTTTAGGGACCTTTTGTTTGTGGTCATTTATTTTCATCTGGGCCAGTGTATTAGGCTGTTTTCATGCTGTTATGAAGAAATGCCTGACACAGGGTAATTTATAAAGCAAAGAAGTTTAAATAAGAAGACATGGACACATGGAAGGGAATAACACCCACTGGGGCCTGTGAGGGAAGGGTTGGGGTTGGGAGAGAGCAGCAGGAAAAATAGCTAATGCATGCCAGGCTTAATACCTAAGTGATGGGTGGATAGGTGGAGCAAACCACCGTGGCACATGTTTACCTATGTAACAAACCTGAACATCCTGCACATGTACCCTGGAACTTAAAATAATTTTTAAAAAAGAGAGAAAAGAGATTTAATTGACTCATAGTTCTGCATGGCTGGGGAGGCCTCAGGACACTTACAATCCTGGGAAAAGGCACTTCTTCATAGAGTAGCAGAAGAGAGAATGAAAGCCAGCAGGCGAAATGCCAGACACTTGTAAAACCATCAGATCTCGTGAGAACTCACTCAATGTCACAAGAACAGCATGGGGTAAACCACCCCCATAATTCAGTTACCTCCCAGCGAGTCCCTCCCACAACACGTGGTGATTACGAGAACTACAGTTCAAGAAGAGATTTGGGTGGGGACACAGCTAAACCATATCAGCCAGACTCGTATAAACCAGGCAGCACATGGACAAATGGGCTCTAACATATCACTCTGTTCTAGTGTTCTAACACATAATTTCATCCACGCATTGTAAGAGGCGGAATAGCAACCATTGCATACGAGGCTTATATTCAAGAATAGTAGCTGCTTAGAGATTTTTTGAAAAGTTGAAATAATACATGTAAATAATAATAATGTACGGAGAGTCCTTCACAGTTTGTTGTGCAAATCTTGCGTCAAAACATATAGAAACAGCGAGAGGCTCCAAAGTCTGTCTTGTCCATCTTTCACCAAGGCTCAACCTCTTCTGCTGAATATCTTTGGTTCTCCTAATGCCTATATAGTCTGGGGGTGGGAGTGAGGAGTGGAAGTTAGTCCTGTCTCACACTCTCCTATCTGCATACTTTGTCTACTTCAGAGGGGCTCTGGAGTCCTAACAGGCTGTGGGCTCAGAAGCACATAATGGGAGCTTGGATCAAGAGGTTTGTGTGGAAAATCCTTGAGGATGGGCAGTCCACTCAACAGGTTATTAAGCAGAAGGGCTCTCACCAAAGTGGGCAGGGCCATTTGCATAGTACTGAAAAAACATTTAAAGTTCTGCATTGAGCTTTTGAAAGATTCCTGCAAGAATCATCATGAATTTTTATACTCATAGTTGATGTAAGGAGGAAAATGGGTGGTATTTTTGCTAAGCCTAAAGGAAACTGGAAAGTTTTAATATTGAATGAAGTATTATAATAAAAGCAGTGAAGTCTTAAATATCACACTAGTAAATTTCTGATAATAAATATACAGTGAGTATATGCTATTTCCTCTGACAAAAGTAAATAGCTGTTCTGCTACTCAGGTTAAAGGCTTCATAAAATTCACTCGTCATAGTTAAAGGAAAATCTCTCCGGCAGCTCTTTGCAAACTACTCAGTTTTATAATAACAGGTGTTTATGTTTGTACACTCTTCTAGGTCTTTGTTATAAATCCCACACAACATTGTTAACTTTTTTGTTTAGTCAATTGTCTTTTTTAGAGATGTAGATAATAAATAAATAAAATATTCAATGCTTATGCACATGATTTTTCTTTCAAAATCCTAAAGACAGGTGAGTAACCTGTCTTCTTACTTGGACTATTTCCAAGGAGAAATCTGCCATCCTTATCTTTGTTAGCTCTATATGTAATGTTCTTTTTTCTTTGGGTGATTTTAAGGGTTTTTTTTTTTAAGTCATTAGTGTTGGGTAATTTCTTTCTTTTTTTTTTTTTTTGAGACAGAGTCTTCTTCTGGCGCCCAGGCTGGAGTGCAGTGATGTGATCTCAGCTCACTGCAACCTCTGCCTCCTAGGTTCAAGCGATTCTCTTGCCACACTACGTTCAGCTAGTTTTTGTATTTTTAGTACAGATAGGATTTCACCATGTTGACCAGACTGGTCTTGAACTCCTGACCTCTCAGGTAATCCACCTGCCTCGGCCTTCCAAAGTGCTAAGATTACAGGTTTGGGCGACCATGCCTGGCTGTTAATATGATTTGCATGTGCCTTGGTGTCATTTCCTTCATGTTACTTGTGCTTGGAGTTTGTCAGACTTTGTGAAACAAACTTTTCTTTGAAACATTTCTTCAAAGGTTCCCTTACCTCTTTGGGGTTTTTCAGTTACCTATACCTGAGACTACTCGGAGTTGTCTCATTGCTTGCTGATTGTTATTTTCATTTTTAAAATTATTTTCTTTTTTAAAACTCTTTGTAAAAAAAAAAACTCTTTGTGTTTCATTTGGGATAGCTTCTTATGATAATGTCTTCATGTCACTAATCTTTTCTTCTTCAGTGTCTGATCTGCTATATACAGCCAACATAAATTTTACTGGAGATACTGTTGTTTTCATCTCTAGAAGTTCAATTTGGGTCTTTTTAATATCTTGCATATCTTCACTTAACATAGCTCATCTTTCCTCTAGCTTCTTGGACATATGGAATATAGTCTTAATAAGTGTTTTAATGCTCTTTCTCAATTGATAATTCTAACATCTGTATTAGTTATAAGGTGGTTTCAATTGATTGATTTTTCTCCTCATAATGGATCATATGTTCCTGCTTCTTTGCACACCAGATTTTTTTTTAATGTATGCCAAACATTTGGATTTTACCATGTAGGTTGTAGATAATACTATATTACCATATTACGCTTATGTCTTGGATACAATTAAGTTACTTGGAAACAGTTTGATTCTTTCAGGTCTTTCTTTTAAGGCTCTTTAGGTGGGACCAGAGCAGTGGTCATTCTAAGGCTAATTATTTCTTACTCCTGAAGCAAGACAGTTCTAAGTTTTCTACCCCTCAATGTCCTGTGAAATAGGAGGTTTTGTGTCTGGCTGGTGGGTGCATTCCCTATTCCAGGCTCTGGATGAGCACTGGGCAGTGTTTCCTCTGATCCTTTCTGATGGTTCTCTTTCTAGCTTTTGGTGGTTTCTCACATGCATGAGCTCATCAGTACTCTGCTGAATACTCAAGAGAGACCCTCTAGGGTTCTCTCTGTGTGCAGCTCCTTCCTCTCCTCTATCTGCCCTTTGAATTCTAGCTGGATCATTCTTTTTGGACTCCTAGCTCTGTTTCCTCAGCTTCAAGTGTCTGCCAGGCTCAGCCTGGGTTCCTCTTTCTCATGCCAAGACCTGTAAACTCTCTCTAAGCAGTAAGCTGGGTTCACATCACTTGCTCCTATTTCTCAAGGATTGCTGTCTATAACTGTCTGATCTCCACTGTCTTGAAAACCACTTTTTTTTTCACATGTCTTATGTAGTTTTTCAGTTGGTTCAGGTAGGAGGAAAAATCTAGCCCCTATTACTACAGGTTTTGAGAAGCAGAAGTCTCATTTAGGTCTATGAATTGCAAATATTTTCTATTTTTTTTACCCTTAATTATGTAACAAGAAGCAAAGACATGCATTCTCAAAATTTTGCTCAAAGAATCTTAATCTCTTTAGGATTCAGCTATTTAAAAATGTATGCCCTCTGATTTTT